GATCACATACAGATTTAATCCACGCTGTCAAACCTCGATTGTCACTGAACAATAAAAGCCCCTTTGTGTGCTAAAGATGTGGCGAAAGAAATGAAAAATAACTGATTGTAGACACAGGCAACCTTTTTGCCCCAAGTGTGACAATGTCGGACATCTTGCGCGTGTTTGCTGCTCAAGATTGCTTCCACATCATGTATCTTATCCTCCACCAAATACTGTACGGACAGTAAATAATTCCGACGGGTCCGTACCTTACTTGATTTCACATACTACCACGTCACGCGTGCGCGGAATACCTCCATACACTGTGGAACAGGAGATGGAAGGTCAACTTGTGCGCCTAGAAAGCGATACGGGGGTCTCGGTTATGCTAGCCAACAATCGTACACAATTTCTCCCTCCTACGCGTTTTAATTCCTATGGTACCGCTCCAGCTTCACTTTTATCCCACTGTTTTCAACCCCTCAATTCTTAGCCCTCCCTACGTTGCTTTGATGGGCTTGTACCTTCTTGTCACAACTCACATATGCACGCGGAGCGTCATTCCTGTCCTGTCGACAAGCCCATGTCCAACCAAGTGGTCAAGCCCAGTTAGTAGACTTCCATTTGGAGCCCTCGATCCTCCAACAGATTGGCATGCCTCAAGGTACCCACATTGCTACAGATCGGTCAACAGGCATCACTTGCCCGAACTTTAGAGAAACTCACGATCGATATCTGTTGACTATCGGAGACCCGCCTAAAAGACTCGGGCTCTGTGCTCTTTCTACGATCCCCTTTAGGTGACGCCAGTAGTTTTTCATTGCGCCTACCCGGAAACGGTGCAGCTTCGAGTAGCGGCCAAGCCCGTGCTGCTATTGCCCTGAGTCCCCGGGCTGAAGCTGCTCTGATTGAATGGATTCCCATCAGTACCCGGATGTGTGCGGTCCGATTGGCTGGCTCCTTCGAATCTTCGAAGTCACACGGGACTAAAAGGTGTCTGTTCGTCATCGTTGCCCATGCACCCACAAACTCTAGCGATGATTCGGTAAAAGACGACTTCTACTACCAACTGAACGGACACTGTTGTGTTGGCTGGGGATCTGATCGCCCAGGTTAGAAAATTATCCACTGATGAACTGCATCTGGGCGGTCAACATGGTGTAGGCTCCCGTAATGATAACGGTGAGCAGTTACTTCATTTGTGTGAAGATGCCCGCTTATTTCTCGCGAGCACTAATTTCCGACACAGCACCCTCCCGAGAGTGATTTGGCACCCACCAGTCTTGGATGCAAATCGATCACATTGCGGTAAGTTACCGCTGGAGAGGCTTTGTCCAAACCTGTCGCTCGATTTGGAGCACATGTGTGGACGCCGATTATGCACTTGTATGTGCTGATCTGCGGATGCGTTTGGCGGACGCCCAAGACGATGCTGTGAGTGCATTGACACCAGTCAACTGACGAAGCCGGCTGTTCTGAATGTCTGTCAAAGTGCACTGACATGCGAGTTGAGTAAGCGCTCACTGGCTACAATGGAACCTTACTGGTCTCATATTCACCACACCATACTAGAAGCAGGCAAATCCACATGTGGTCAGTCTAATCGCCAACATGGACACTAGGTCTCTTCGCGGTCTCTGGAACGTATTGATGCTCGTCGGCATATTCCGGCTGGAAGCGAACACAATGAGACTCCCAGCAAAACTCCGTGCTATCCTGAGGAAAGACCGCGAATCCTGGTGTTCTCTTCGTGCATCAGAGATGGAAGTACCCGCTGCCTTTGGTAACCATCGAAAGTTATTCCGTCTGATACGGGAAACGGGCAGCAGGATACCTGGTGTTAGCGAGACAATTTGTGACGATAGTGGACAGCCTATCCACAATTTGTCAAAATCAATGGAGCGTTGGGCTGAGCATTTTAATAAGTAATTTAATCAGCCGGAATTATTCAATTCCTCACCAGCGAGTGATCGCCCTGCTCCGTGGGCTGTCCCTTTGGATCCGCCCTCTCGCTCAGAAGTCAAGCATGGGATCGGACTGCCGAAGTTGAGCAAAGCCGCGGAATCAGATGATCTTCCTCCAGCCCTCTTCAAATTCGGAGGGCCTGCTCTTGTTGATGATTTACACGAATTACTAGTGAAATTGTCCCAACATACTGGAGCCGCTCCGTCATAGTCCCAATTATTAAGGGAGGCTCACGATCAGAATGCGGCAACCATAGAGCAATCAGTCTTATCTCCATGGCTGCCAAATTACTTGCCTCTGTAATCCTTCACAGACTGACTGGCACTCGTGAAAGCTAGATTCGTAAAGCGCAAGCTGGGTGTCGTCGAGGTCGTGGTTGCATTGACCACATCTTCACTTTGCATCAGTTGTTGGAGCACCGTCACATATATTGGCGGCCCATAGTTGTCGTGTTACACGATAGCAAAGGTGCCTTCGATTCGGTTGATCGAGGTGCCCTTTGGAATTGTTTACTCAGGAAAGGTGTACCTGAAAAATATGTAAATATTATCTGAGCATTATACGCGCGTAGCTCAGGCTGTGTGAGGGCTTACGGCAAGCAGTCGTCGCCTTTTAATATTTCCAGCGGTGTGAGACAAGGATGTCCGTTGTCACCTTTCCTCTTCAACTTCGCTGTTGACGAAGTCATGGAAATCCCGTACACAGGACACGACTTAGAAGGTGTGAATCTGCTATCAGGAGAATGACTTCTTGACTTGGAATATGCTGACGATATATTCGCAATTTGGATCACATCTGGTGAGAACACCGTGTGAGCAACGAGCGTGTTCGACACATTGTTTATGGCAAAAGCAAAGGAACTGAACCGCTCAGCACCGTCATTTCGCGCACCAGGCTCCGATGGCTCGGCCACGTGTTACGCATGCCAGCCCACCGACTTCCGCGACGTGTGTTGTTTGCTCGCCGGGGGTGTTGATGGAAGAAGAGGAGAGGTGGCCAAGCGATGACTTGGTTGAGAGCATTGAAGACGCTCACTTCGAAACTAGCTACGGTTGAAGCGTCTGGGATCCCTGGTTTGGATCCGAAAGACGCTGAACATGGTTGGATGGATACATCTGCTGACATAGCTAGGAGCCGAACTCATTGGTGTTCGTGCTGTGAGTATTTTCGTCACATCCATTCCATCTTTGGCTTCCCCCTCCAACCACGATCGCACTATTTAGCCTAATATGATTTTGCATAGTAAATTGTTTCAAGCATAGTTGCTGACTGGGAGCTTACCGGAACGATGCCTCTCCGTTGCCGGTAGCTCAGCTGGTTTGCATCGGTTGCATTTTCCCCTTTTTTCTTTTATGTATCGAGGCACAGTAGCTGTGGTGTTTTTACACCTCTAGCTAATGTGTATAGCGATGAATGATGATTGAGGTGGACTGCCGACTCTTCTGCACAAGCGTCTGGAGGTAAAAGTACATGATTACTTCGTGTCATATTCTAGCTAAGATAAACGTGGTGTATTACTGGATCGATTCTTGGGCTCCGCCTCTTCATGATCTGATAATAAGCTAAATCGCGTCACGCCGACGACATCGAAGTTAGACGAGTGTTCAGAGTGCTAGATGACCGCTTACAGATTCAAAGTGATGTCCATAAGACATGGGCTGTCATTTCGGAATCAACTTCAATGCAACGTGACTAGATATCAAGGATAGCATTTACAGCACCAAACAGTTTACACAAATAAGCTCGGCGCCCAAAGTCGGTGGCATTTTCCTTGCGAAACAGATCTCAGTGGGCTTGATCAAGGTGGTTTATCAGCCTCATTAATACGCCTCCACGCATTGCATTCTCTCCCATCAGCTGCTATTTCTGTTCCTCCCTTGGGCTTGTTCAAACATCATAATGACAGTACGCTGGCTGCATTACACCGCATCATATAACCCACCTGACCCATACAAACATTAGAAAAATCTGCGTGAGCTTACGTCCGGTTGTTTTAGGGAGAACCATCAGTGGGAAATTTACAAATTGCATACAACCATGTGTGAACGATCCAGACGGACTAAGCAGCTCATTACGTTCACTGTTTATAAGCGCCTATTTCTTACTTTTTATTTGGAATCTCTAACTAAACATCTACTGGGACATGTTAAGCTTCGCTTCGTTTTACACGAAATATACCATTGACCACTAGTTACTTTCAGTTATTTTCCAAGTATTTTCCATACATATTTTTTGGTATTGCGATATTTTTACCGGTTCTTTGTTCATAGTCGTGGAAACAACGGTTACTTTTCAGAAGCACAATGTCGTCACACGAGAATTCAGATCGGAGGGCAGTTAAGATTGTGATGTGTCTGTTCCATCTCGTATAGTGGCTTATCTTGAAAGCTTTAAGACTGTACAGTGGTAGGTATACTCGTCCTGAGCTACTAGATTTTGAAAACCCCAGTCACATTCGGCTCCATCTAAAGTATTTCCACCGCACCGACCTGAGGCGCTACCAGCTGAAGCTGGCTGTGTAAGATAACCAGTTGGGATTTGGCTGGAGTTCTTCCCTACGGATTTGCCACCCAAAGGAAGCTTTTTCTGACTTATGCCATTTCTGCACCCACGTCTCCGCGATGCATTACGATAACCTGCGTCCATCCGATGACAACAAAACGCAACTAAACACTGTCATCGCCAAGTCCAACGAAGTCGAGGTAGGCAGACTTGTATTAGTGGTAGTGTGAATATCATATTGAGCCCACAGAGGCGCAGTCTACGGTGCTGACAGGATTTTACCTTTCATCAGAGCCATCATACAAAGCTTTCTCAGCCTTGGATTATTACTTCACTTGTACCACTGTTCTCTCTTAACACTAAACAGTTCCAGGTGAATTTTAGGGAGACCCGGGGAACGTGCGAGTAGACCATGATAAAACACTGTAATCCTCATCGCAACTGTTCCGCTCATGTTCGTCAACTTACACGATAACAAGTAAAATATGACCACATCATACATTGATGCCTGCTTCATCATACATGCAGTTATCAGTAATCAGTTAACTCACTCGCACAGTGTTCGACTTCTCGTTTTGCTGACGGACGCGCTTCCCGTTGGCCAGTGCTTCTATTCCGACCATCTTTCTGTAGTCTGTACAGTGCAGTGTCGCACAGGAATAAGCAATCTTATTACCACTGTATTTACGGCAGTCAATAATTTTGTGACTGTTCATTAGAGACGATTACAAGGGATTTTGTATTCTGCATGCGGACATTTCCAAACAGAAAGGCCCGATGTGTCTCTCAACCTTTGTTATCCCAACACCGACCTGGTGTCGTGGAGTTCACACCGAAGAGTTTGGTCGCTTGCATTCATTTCAGTATCAATTCTTTCAGACAGTTTCCACACTAATTAATTTACGCATGTATTCCACAGGAAGTTTGTATAAATCTTGTTTCGAACCCCGACTACTTTTATAGAACAACAGTGCTTTACAACCGTTTTACCCACAAAATCTGATAATTCCTCCTCATCTTTCGAAAGAGCACGGGATTTTTCACCATCCGTACACCTATCTAACTGCCAAGCTTGGATAACGTACTCAACATGCAGGCGCACTTAGGAGTTGTGCATCATTGGGAAGATTGATGGGTCGAATCTCCCAAATGCCCTTCGCAGCAAGCCGACGTGCTGGTTGCCTCTTTTGCCAACTACAGCCTGTTTTGGACAGTTGAGGTCGCTCTGTATGAGCACACTAAGGTCCCATTCCTGGGAGCTAGTCTGCAATCCGTTTGTCCCAAGCAAATAGGTGTAGTTATATCTATGGCATAATTGCACAACGCGACATTTGTCTACGTTGAATAGTAGGGCGTTTTGAACTGACCAGTTCGACACCGTGTTAAGATCGCACTGGAGCCGTTCGTGGTCGTCCAGTCCTCTGATCCTTCGCCATATCTCGATATCATCAGTTAAAAATAGGTAATGGGAAGCAATTGATCTCGCCAAATCGTTAATGAACACCAAGAACAGAGGAGGCCCAAGCACCGAGCCTTGTGGTATACCACACACCACATCGATTGCATCAGACAATGATTCTCGAACTCTCACCACTAGCCGTCGTTCGTGTAGAAAACTGCTAATCCAACTCCGGATTGGGTCACCAATGCCGTAATTCCGAAGATTCTGAGGAAGTATTCCATGGTCTAAGCGATCAAACACTGTCATGACAGCCGTCGTGCATTTGCGATCTACTATTGAAATTGATCATTATTTGGCTCAATTGAGGTTAAAGTGTACCACAAAGTGTCTTAATGTGCGGTCTATCAGGTAAAAGGAAAACAGTTAAAAGAACGTCAACCCAGATTGAGCTTGTTGGGTGACAAAAGCATCTTCTTAGTGATGGATCGTGGATAAGCCTTCCGACATAACAAAGAACCTACTTCGGTCTGCTTGCTCCTTGATGTTAACGACGCTGACATCTGTCATCTGATTTGTTCCGGCTTTAATAAGTTCGCCACACATTTTAGGCTTGCATGTGTAACCCAGTGTCAGTTGTTCTGGGTTAAGTAGGGAACTGACGTCTTTTTTCCGAAATGTGGATTTCTTTCTAGGTGAAAGAGAAGTCCGACTTACACTGAATAGACACAGTTAATCATTGAATGTGACACCTATCTCGAGAACGATTCTGGCTTTATTATCTTATATTAATTCTCCTGATATTGAAACTACTAAATCCATCGAATGTTTCTCAGCTTTCTCAATAACTGAATTCTTACATTTTATAGTCGTTCGCTACAGTGGAGAATCATTTCAATGTGAGTTCGTTATACTCATTCAGTGTCTACATGTGTAATGCTTAAGACATACTTCCGGTCTGCTACCTTGGAACATAAGTGCAGGCTTAGTTAACATAGCGCCCAATTTAATGCAATTGGTCGATAAGCTTTGTCACCTACACCGGCAAAAGTGTAATATATTCTCAAGTCCGGGACGTCATTGGTCTCCTCACTCGTTATCAGTGATTCCAGATGTAGGTGCAAATGCGTATGAGGAATATGTCAGTTGGCATTAAAACGCCTCTGGTAGTTCTAGAGAAGATTCACCGCTGCCAATGTCTAGTCATACAGTCACACGCACATCCAGGAAGAGGTTGCATGGCTGTTTATTACTACTTGCAGTCGTGAACTTGTGCATCCCCCAACTCCTCAGAGAGTCGATTTCACGACCCGTGTGTTTGAAACTCAGTGGCTCGGGCCACTAGATCATGAGTAACAGATGTGTACCGCCTTAACTCACCACTAGCTGCATTGGGATGTTCATCATTTGCCACCATGCATGCTACAAACGTACATAAGATAAGACAGGTCCCCAAAGAAACAACTTACTTTGTAAGCCGCCTCTGAACAAGGAGCCACGTAAGCCGTCCGTGTGAGTACCAGTTGTCTAAAATACGACAGGAGATTGAGTGCAGTTGAATAATTTATGATAACTCAATGTTATCAAGCGAATATGTGTTTTCAATAATTCTTCCTCAGGCTTGTATAATTATATGCAAAAAAGGCCAAAAATATAGACACAGCACAAGGACCAGTAAGGCACTCAGTTTACAGTCATTGGTCACTGTCAATCACTGCCCCTAGGACACAGTTGTAGCACGTGCATAATTCTTTGGTTTGGACGGAGCAGTTCGTCTAGGTCAAATCAAGCACCGCGTGTGAGTGAATCTTTTCTGAACGCACAATTCCAGCTCGTGTAGTCTGATCGCTAAACGCAGCCGCTTCAAGTAAGCGCTTTCGAACGCACGTTGGTCGATTTTCAGGTGGTCGATAGATGACTTTGAGTGCCATGGCTAGGTTGGGGGAATGGCCCGTGTCGGCAAGATGCGTGGCGATGAATGAGTTGGTTAGCTTTCGGCACTCAGTCGCAAGCCAGACCGGATGGGGATCTCTCACCCTGTCAAACAGGCGTCTCGTCGTGCGGCCAATATATCCTAAACCATAGGAATAGGTGAACGAGTAAACACACAGGGAATTGGCGTGGACAAGCCTTTTGTCTTTGGGTTAGTTTTCACCATTGGGCTATTGGTGAAGTGAATCTGCATTCTGGCTGCTGGGAAGGTGTGCCTGAGAACGCGAGAAATACGACGATTTAGAAGTTTACTAACGATTTCATCTTTGTACCGTGCTTGTAAAAATTGGGTTTCTTTCAGGCTGTGAGGGTTACAAGAGCTTAAGTCCTTTACTCCATGTTGGCCTTAATGAAGCCATCCGAGTACCCATTATCCTTCAGGGTTAAGCGTATGCGCTACAGTTCCTCAGAGAACGTATCATTTGAACACATTCCGTCTGATTCGTTAAACTGAAAATCAGGTTCCGTTTTGATCTAAGTGGAACAAAACTGTAGAAATTCGTGTATTGTCCGTTTCAAGTACGTTTCCTATACACACGACGCTGTAGCGCACCATCATCAAATCGCTTTATGGCCACATCGAGGCAATGAAAGGAGATATCTTCCTACACTTCAGATATAAACTTTAGCGCTGTGTGCGCCTGGTTAAATGTGGTAGTGAGGTTCTTGATGTTTCAGGTGGAATGGAGCAATATGAAGATGTCATCGACGTAACGGCAGTAGAGGCTAAGGCTTTCGATGTCCGATCCTAACTTGCTCTGCTCTAGCATACCCATAAACACGTCAGCAAGAAACTGCTGTCGATATATTTCCCCGTTGAACAAAAACTGGATATTGAAGGTGCATCGGAGCAACAGTTCCTTTAGGTCAACAGTAGGAATGCCAATGGTTATCTGATTCTGATCAATATAATCACAAATGTAATTTATAGTTTCAAATAGTGGCACATTAGTGAAAAGTGAAGCAATGTCGAGAGAACACATGATTAAATCCGTAACATTTCGATCACGCACGACATCTAGGAACTCAAAACTGTCCTTTAGACTGTGTACAGCAACCTGCTTTCGGATGGGCTCCAAAAGCTTAACCAGCCACCGTGCTGTGGAGTGGTACAGAGAGTTCTTCAAGTTCAAAACTGGTCTCAAATAAAGATTAAAATAAATAATAATAATGTGTCAGCTGTACGCCGTAACGGCGCTTCGCTGCCGCGCGACCACCACCAGTCGCGCGCGGGCTGAGTATACCGCGAGGACGCCCACCCCTACGCGGATTCAAACCGGTGACCTTATGGTTGCAAAGCAAACGTGCAGACCACTCGGCCACCGGCTGACCAGATAAAGATTAGGCTTTTACGTTTTAGGTAGACCGTATAGCCTTGGAATCGCGCTGCCCACGGGACGTAGGTTTTCATAGTCGCCTTCACTAATAAAGCCCCCATCACGGAGCTTTTTAAGGCAGTTGCAGATATGATTTCAATCTACTGCGTTTTGTCTTTTTCGCCCAACGTCTTTGAAAACTTGGTGTCATCTGTCAATATTTCATGCATTTTCCGAAGATAGTCTGCTTTGTTCAAGACAACTATTCCCGCACCTTTATCGGGTCGAGTGAGCAAAATATTTTCATTCCCGACTAGATTGTTTAGCGCCTGAGTATGTTCCTGTCTAACCGGGGTTTTAGGTGTTATATGTGCTCTGCGATATTGATAGCAAGCGTTCATCAGCAGCGACTTAAACTCTTCTACTTGCGAATCCGATGACGGAGACAATTGTAAGTCTGTTTGTATAGATTTTCAAACTAGACTTCAATTGCTAATCTATTGCCTCTTCTAATGAGTAGACAGAACTTAGGGTCCAGCGTTAACACCTCCATTGTGGTACGATCAAGTGTCATGCAAGATAAAGTGCACACGTACTTTTCGGGTTCGGCATGGAAACACCTTGTCGGTTTCTCTCATTTTAATGTCTACGAGAGCGAAGAATGCAGCTTTGTGCCTTGTTTGGTAATACTTTTGTTAACCAACGTCTCTAGCTTCGTTCGGTCTCTTCATGAAAGGCTGTTTATTACGGCAGTGAATTGACTCAAGCTGCGATTTAGCTCGTCTCTCCTAACACGTGTGGTTTTGATCTGGCCGATCGTTAGACGCTTTAGGCAAACCTTGTCCGGCCTTATACGTGCACGACGAAGGGATTTCCAGTAACTCGCTGGGATGATAGAGTTTGCAATGCAATCCTGTACAAAACGGAGGCATATATCCGCTTTCGCTATCCTGATTCGAAAGCGCACATATCTGTTGAGGGATTTCAACCCAGAGGGTCTAAGCCGTGTTTCACAGTAGTAGATGATAAATAGATGATAGATAGATGATAGATGAAAACACAATGTAATCAAGCGAATATATGTTTTCAATAATTCTTCCTCAGGCTTATACAATTATATGCAAAAAACGACCAAAGATATAGACAGCTGAGGGCGGAGTCCCCCAAGCAAACCTCCGAAGCACAACGACCACCTCGCGTGCGATTGCCCACCAATGCAATCGTATGCCTGCGTGCAAATCACTCAGCGTCGGGTGCCGGAACGTGCGCACACCACTGGACCGGAACTCCAGTGAACAATGAACAATGATTTATCACGGGATAAAAGCAAGTGCTTGACACGTCCCGTAGGATGGTAGCGGTGAATATGAATATGATGCAATTAAAATATGGCTGGGTCATCTATCGAACGTCTGCCGAGATGAATACTTTGATAATTAACATCAGTGTAAAATGAAAAATAAATATCGCGCGTAAACATTCAGAAAGACACTGGGGCGCAGTGATAGTTGAGGTAAGGAGTGAGAAAATGAAATATGGTCGCTCACTTAGGTCCATTTGATACATTAGTCCTGTTGAAAACATGCCTGGCGTAATCCACAACAGAGGAGCTTAGGTAACAAAATGTTGGGAGCTGAGAGCAACATCTAATCGTTTTTTGAAAACATCCAGGGTAGGAGAGGATACAACTGAGTCTGGGAGTGCGTTCCATGGTTTGCAAACCCGAAGGGAAAAGTAATTCCGTCGACACTCTAGACGGCTATATTGTTCCTTCAACTTTAAGCAGTTACCCCTGAGCTGCGTGTTGTGGCTAAGTTTCAGCAAATGGCGGCATACGTGGTTGGGGTCACTCAATATCTGATACGCTAATATGAGATCGCCGCGCAGCCTTCGATAACGTCCGCTGAAAATTCCCAGCAACTTCAGCCTTCGGTGGTAAGAGTGACACAGCAGGCCCTTCACGTTTTTGTTGCTCTCCGTTGTGGTGCCTCTATCGCTTCTAGGTCGCGTTTCAACCAAGGTTGCCAAGCTTGGATTGCGTACTCAACTTGCGGGCGCACGTAGGAATTGAGCATCATTGGGAAGATTGATGGGTCAAATCTCCCGGATGCCCTTCGCAGCATGCCGACGTGCTGGTTGCCTCTTTTGGCAGCTACCTTAGCCTGTTTTGAACAGTTGAGGTCGCTCTGTACGATCACACCAAGATCACGTTCCTGGGAGCTATTCTGCAATTCGTTTGTCCCAAGTATGTAGGTGTAGTTATGTCTATGGCGTAATTGTACTACGCGACATTTGTCTACGTTGAACGGTAGAGCGTTTTGAACTGACCAGTTCGACACTGTGTTAAGATCGTGCTGGAGCCGTTCATGGTCATCCGGTCCTCTGATCCTTCGCCATATCTTGATATCATCAGCGAAAAATAAGAAATCGGAAGTAATTGATCTCGCCAAATCGTTAATGAACACCAAGAATAGACGAGGTCCAAGAACCGAGCCTTGTGGTACTCCAGACACCACATCGATTGCATCGGACAATGATTCTCGGACTCTCACCACTAGCCGTCGTTCTTGTAGAAAATTGCTAATCCAACTCAGGATTGGATCGCCAATGCCGTAGTTCCGAAGCTTCTGAAGGAGAACTCGATGGTCTAAACGATCAAATGCTTTTGAAAAGTCCAGGTAGATGACACCGACTCCAACTCCATCATCAACAGCTTCAGTCCAGCTATTACGTGAAATTAATAGGTTAGTATTACACGAATGCTTTTGACGAAAGCCATGTTGCTCTGGGGCTATTAAATTGTGGCTTTCCAAGTATTGCATCAGCGCGTCTGCGACGATTGATTACTTCACTTTGGATAGTACGGGAAGTAGTGTTATTGGACGGTAGTTCGCATGATCAGTGCGGCTACCTCCTTTATGGATAGGAGTGATGACCCCTTGCTTCCATACTGGTGGAATAAGGTTTTCCTCTAGACATCGCTGATAGAAAACAGCCAGTGGTTCTGCTAGATCACTAGCTACTGCCTGTAGAGCCTTTGGTCGGATGTTATCAGCTCCGGGAGAACTGTGGATACGCAAGGATAACAACTTCTTCAACACAGCCTCCGTAGTGAAGGTGATGTTTTCTAAACCGGGTGGTGGAGTATTAGAAATGAGGTGAATGTTCGGGCTCGACACTTGTTGGAACGTTTGGGAGTAATGATGCCGTAGGAGATCAGCTGCTTCCATTGCTGACCGCGTGTATCTATCAGCCGTGACTAGCGCCGGAACCCCTCGCGCGGAGCGACGCACTGCACTGGTCGCGATGGAGCTGGCGCGTTACCACATCGATATTGCGCCGCTCAGTGAAACTCGACTCGCTGAACAAGGTAAGTTGTATGAAGCAGGTGCTGGCTACACATTCTACTGGGTGGACAACGCTGCCTCAGCACCACGTGAACATGGGGTCGGATTTGCAATATCCGATCGTCTAAATGGCCACCTGGTAGGTGAACCAACAGGCATCAGCGCGCGACTGATGACTGTTCGCCTAAGACTCGGAAGTGGTAAGTTTGCCACTTTTATAAGCACGTACGGGCCGACCATGTGTTATCCTGATGACACGCGTGATCAAGTCTACACTGAGCTATCCTCCGCGATACGGTCTGTGCCGAGCGACCGACTATTTCTGCTGGATGATTTCAACGTGCGTGTTGGGCGTGATGCATCGGTGTGGACAGATGTTATCGGTTCGCATGGCATTGGTTCAGCGATTGCGAACGATGACAGGCTGCTCTCACTGTGTGCCACTCACGTCCTGACGATCAAGAACACTCGCTTTGCACTGAGTGCGAGTGATATAGCAACTTGGAGGCACCCATGGAGTGGTCACGCTCACCTGCTCGACTATGTCATCGTACGTCAGCGTGATATGCGTGT